TTGTTTTATTTTGTTCAATGTTTGAGGAGCTGCAGCGTAGGTACAGCAGACATCTGTTAGAGAAAAAAAGGATGAGGATATTAAAAACAAAGTTTATCCGTTTTTACCGAGGCGATTTAAGTTAAGTTGTAAACCACATCTGCGCTTGTGTGTATATCTGCCGGCGCCGGCATTTTTCAAATTAACAACTATGGCGTTATTTTAATGACAAGTGTCGAGAGCGCATTATTGTGACGCGAAAGCACATTAATATAATGTGCGAGCGCGAATCTCCCCGCTCGCACGCGGATTTCCTTTGCTCTCGCACAAAACTTGACGTTCTCGCCCAGAGAGTGTGCGCACACTTAAAACGTGTCTAGAACATTTATTGTGTTATATCTTGCATCATTTACGTCTATTTTTGCATTTGATGTTGATTTGATAGGAATTGTTACTATTGCCATCATACCAACTGAGAATTTATTGCAATGATTTTAAATTCAGTTGAGGTATCTGACATATTATTAGTCTTTAGAGCCATCTATAATATGTTGTTTTTAGATAAATTGCTCAGAGACCAACCAGTTGGACAGAGGTTATTTATATGTACAAATCATCCAAGCACCCAATTCCTAGCCATTTCTAATATATGCCACATTTCATTAACATTGCTAAATATTATTAAACTGGAAATAAATTAAAGATCCATCTTTGATTGTCAAAAGAATTCCAGGTTCAGTTCCCTCTCAGCCAATTAGATTTCACATAGTATTTTCATCGGTCAGTTGTGGAGGTCTGATTGTTTAAAGCTCTATTTATATAGCGCCTTTTAAAAGTGTTTACAAAGTATTTTACAGAGAGATGCATATGTGCATTCACAGAAAAGAAAATACAAATACAAACATAAAAGAGATAAAGTAGTAAAACAAAGTGCAATAACCAGTTTGTTAAAACAAAAATATAATAAAAAAACAAGGAAAGGCCTTTAGTGAACAAATCTGCTTTGAGATTCTTTTTAAAAGCGCACAATTATAACTTCTGACAACGTTTAATTCAGGTGTGAAAATAATTAATATCTAGCGCATGAGCACAGAGAGATTTGCGAGTGCACAGGACAGTTTGAGTGAGAGGAGAGACACGTTTTAAGCGCTTTGTCAAGTTTTGTGCGAGAGCAAAGGAAATCCGCGCGCGAGCGGGGAGATTCGCGCTCGCACATTATATTAATGTGCTTTCGTGCCACAATGCGCTCTCGACATTTGTCATTAAAATAAAGCCATAACAACGGTTGTTTGCGGCGACGCAAAGAATTGTGGGTCATCTGTAGCAGCGAAGGATACACCTCATGCATTCCTGTGAAAGAAGGTCGCATTCGAAGTGTCCTACTTGCTTTTCTGAAATGAGACAGCCTCGATGACGTATGCAGCCTTCGAATGCGACCTCCGGAGGGCGCAGCCTTCTAAATGAGACACAGCTACAGTCTGTTTATTCTAAGCGTACGTGCTCTGCCGCTTTAAATTCTTGCGCTCGTTACAGCAGGATGGATTCTGATTAACTGTCAGTGTTTCATCGTTCATCAGCTGGAAAAAAAAATCATTTTGAACGTAATCACAACGATATCGTTCCTATGTATTGTTATCGTTATAGTTGTGGTGTGAACTATGCTATTCGTTAATATTGAGAACGATTTTTAGAACTATATCTTTATCGTTATAGTTATCGTGCTTGGTGTGAACGGGCCTTAAGACTCCTGGGACCTGTTTAGGTCTTGAATGTTTGTGCACCTCAGTATTTCTTATGTTATATTTATATTTTTTTATTGCACATTCTTGTAACAAAACAATAAAAGGAGACCGACTTTATTGATGAGAATTTGTCTTTAATTGTGAATATGCAGGATACATATTTTCAGAACAATGCTACTGAAACAGTAAAATAATTTCTTTAAAATGGTTTCCGATGATTAAATAAAACACCGATATAAATTCTTATCGTCTTGACTAAACATTTAACGCGGCAGAATGTGAAAAACAAAATCCTAGATGCCCTGCAACAAGCATTCCTGGCACAAGAAAACCTTTTTATGCACAATTTTATTCAAAATAAAGAGGAATGTGTTTCGTGTCAGTAACGAGTCTAATTCCTATTCATTCAAGTTGGCCATACTGTTGAGGGATATTTCAGGAGGTGTAAGCAGATCTCCTTACAGCACATTGGAATAGCAGCTCTCACAATGGACCGTCCCACGGTGGAGAAACATGTTGTAGAGTAAATCTCCCATTGGTTTACTGCAAATACCACACTGGGGTGGGAGGCAAAAGAAATTCAATACATATTTTCATTAAAGCATGTAGTCATTTATCATTACAGTACAGCAGGGTAGCATTTCACAAACAAGCTAAAATGCATCCAGCACATTGTGCCATACAAATTAGACAAAAAGAGTCCTTTGTGTGAGCGGATATTGTTGCGTACCTTAAAGCAGGATGGGTGACAGGATATGTTCAGGTGCTCAATGGTGATTTTGGCGTCATTTCCCACCATTTCTCCACAGTATGTACAGGGAGTCGTCTCTCTTCTAAAAACACCAAATGAGGCTCATGTGACAAACTAAAAAAGAAACTTGCCATTTGCTGACACTCATCACTGCTTGTGCAGTAAATGATACATACTCACCCTTAGAACAGACTATACAATCATACATGATATCAACATTTGCCCCAAAAAGTATGCATGTGCATTCGTGTACATTTATAAATACAGAATGAATCCTGATAAGTGTCCTTGTTTCTGGGGCTGCTTTCATATGTTATGTGAGATATATATATATATATATAAACATGTTACCTGGAGTAGTAGCTGGGGCTGCTGTAGTTGTAGTTAGAGGTTGTTGATGACACATAGTCAGAGCTGCTATAAAAAAATTAAATAAAAAAGGAGATTTTTGTGGTTGAAGATATTGTATTGATCCACAGATTACTATTCTATGATGACGATTCTATGAGCGCACAAGCATCTTCTGCACTGCTGCAGTTATTTTATGTCAGTTACAAGGTCCTTCAGATCCTCATCACACAGTCAAGGTTTATTTGGTGCATTATTGTACATTAGTCCCTTGAGAGTCCGCCGCTTCACGTATTAAGAGAGTCTATGCAGTTCACGGTCATGTTAATTCATTTCAATGCTGAATTTTTGGAATAATTGTACTACTTTTGTATCGTATGTAAGCAGGGTCTTCGCGGAGTCAATTGAGCAGCGCTGATCTTACTGAGCAAACGACTATAACGGCAGAGAATTGTTCTAAGAATATAATGCCTCCAGGTTACCTGCCATCAAGACGTGAGTTATCCACATATTCCTTAACATAGACGAAGCCCCTAAAAACAGAAAACAAAAGAGATCAGGCTTTCAACAGAACAACACTTTCAGGTTACAATCATCAGGTTAAGCTGAAGGCTTTCATTGGAAGAACATCTTCCCACATACTTCTTGGAGTCCGATTCTGGTAACTTCTCCTGGACAGAACTCTCCACTGTTTTGATGCTGGTTTTGTAACTACAAGACAAAAAGAGTCATTATGTTAGAAATCTTGTCTGATGTGACCTCTGATTTAGAAGGTTCTGCTCTACTTTTATGTTAATCATATACAATTATGTTAGACTGTGGGGGACACAAGTAAATGTTGAAAATATAGAGACATGCAGCATTTTAAGTATTTGTCTTTGCTTCAGCAAGATCTTTTAAGAAACAATGAGTAACCCAAGACCTAAAGCAGGACTATACTTATTCAGCTGTTGTCCTAGAAAACCTGCCCTATATCTTTTGCTCCAGCGCTCTGCTTCTGAATTCTGAAATCAGATGCTAAACAGGAAAAGCTAGTTTTAGCCCTTGAGACCAACACATGAGTATTACATGATGGTTTGGCCAGAACGGACAGTTAACCCTGTTTTAATTTTTCTTTCTTTTTTTGGAAACATCAACAAAAAAGACTTTATTTATTTTTATTCAAATAAAAATAAATATTTATTATTTATTTTATTAAGGAACATCAGGACTATATATATATATATTAGTGCTGTCAAACGATTAATCACGATTAATCGCATCCAAAATAAAAGTTTTTGTTTGCATAATATATGTGTGCATACTGTGTATATTTATTATGTATATATAAAAGCACACACATACAGTATATATTTTGAAAATATTTACATGTATATATTTATAATAATTTAATTTATATTATATCTAAATATATTTAATATATAAACATTACATATTTTTCTTAAATATATGCTTGCATGTGTTTGTATTTATATATACATAATAAATATACACAGTACACACACATATATTATGTGAACAAAGACTTTTATTTTGGATGTGATTAATCGTTTGACACCACTAATATATATATATATATAGTTTGGGAAGTCGGATTTCTACAAATAGCGCAATAAGTCTGGAAGTTAATATTAAACATTAATCACTACTCAATATTTACTATTTTAATCAAATATTAAATCATTGTGTAATATCTTTATAAACATAGTTCATATGTATACTATATATGTGCAATAAAATATATAAATATCTTTTAGGTTTGTTTTAAAATTCTGGTTCAAATTTGGGTCCAATTTTTTTTATATATATATTAAAAAATAATTAAATTTTTTCCCACACAATAACTAATATTTTTATTTAGAAGCATAAGAATCAGAATCTTATAGAATCACAAAATGAATCACGTTTACTAAATCTCATAAATCAACACTCCCAGTTTCTGTTAATAAGAATTTTTTTTAAACAAGAAGTGTTGACAATTACGGCACACTGAAATCTTCAGTATCTCATAATCTCAAGTAGGAATAGTGGAATTTGCTTGAATTTTTGAGTCTTTGTATATGAAATGAACTTCACTCACAGAACAGCAGCACTTACCTTTCCATTTTTGTCTCCCAGTCACTGTGAAAACAAACAGATGTTGCTTTTAAAAGGGATCCGGTGCGATGAAGGCTAGTTGTATTTCCAGAGAGCGTGCGCACACGTGTGAAAGTGCGTTTGATGCTGTGTGAGAGTTTATCTGCAGCTCAGGTGCAGTTTTAGGGTTGGGTTTGACTCAAACTACCTCGCTACTTCCTTCTCCGGGACTTTAACCCATTATGCTATTGACTTCAGAGCAAAGATCTCTGTGCAAACAATATGAATCAACACAGACAGGTCCAGGTGTAGCTGTGCTAATAAAAACCAGCTTTTGGAGAAACAAACAGCTATGCAGTATTCAATTACCGTTTAGGATCAACTGGAATGACATCTTCAGCCAAGGAAACCAGAACATCTGGTGGCATACTATCAATTAAAAACAAAATATCTGGATTAATATTACTATTTAGTCAAATACACTGTGTAAAAATACAATAGTATATTATGTTTACATTATAACTTCTTTATTATTATGTTACAAAATTATGAAAATGTAAATTGAATATTACATTAAATTAAATCATCATATAGTCAGGTCCATGTATATACTCACTCAGCAACCAAATCCACAGGATGCTGAAAATGACTGAATGTATCCGTGGACCTGAAAATGTAAATGTACACTATCATGACAAGCTGTATCATTATCATCATAATTTGAGCAAATAGAGCCTGATAAATGAATCTGCACATTTACCTTGAGTCTGGTTTAGGAGGACCGTACCAGTGAGGGCTGTGAAAGACACAAGCAGACAGAGAGTGAGGTGTTGCCTGCCATGTGTTCACATATGATTGTTAAACACTGAGAAGTTCAGTCAGAATCATCACCTCTTTGTGGGCTCACTCGATGCTGCTATTGGATCAAATTCATCATCTAAGCTGGAACAAAAATCACACTAGTCTTAGAAGCATGCGCTGCCATATGCGAGTGGAATTGTGATGCGACTGTTAAAAAAGATTTATTGTGCTGAGACAAAGCACAGCACTGTTTTTCACTGTTTTTGAAATGAAAACGAAGTAGATTAAACCTTTACTGCACATAAAGGACATAACTTGTAAATGTATGTTACAATTTCAACTAAAATCTTGATGTTTTGAGAAAGAAAGAAAGGGTTTTCCAGCTAGAAGTACAGTCAGCGCTGGTTCTGAGAGGGGAATATGAAACTAGTTACACTTCAAAACCTAAGTGAAGTCTTCATGGTTTTCTGAGCTTGTGTTATTTTCACATTATTATCGCTAATCTGTCTAAGCCACTGCATGTATATTCTTCAAAACGAAGAAATGACAGTTCCACGAATGGAGAAAAAACAAGATGAGGGGAAAAACTCACCTGGTGGTAGAAGTGCTGAAGGGAATGAGATCCTCTGCGAGCAGGTCCAGAGTTTTATGCGTCTTCTTGGTCTGAGGCAGAGGACTAGAGGGGAAACATCCAGATCATTTAACAGCCGATTCTATGGGTTTTTAGTAACATTTTTACGGTTGCATTTGTGTAAGACTAAACATTTTATTCGTGTAAATAATGTGTTGTTAAGTGTTAATAAACCGCATTGTGCCATCTCAGGCTAAATGAACATAGTGTAATATACTGTATAATTAAGCCTTTAGTAAGATAACAGGATTTAACAGTTTTACAGTTTAATTTGGCATTACAAGCCTTGTGCTCAAAGTGAACTATATAGTTAAAAAAGGGGGGGGAAATGATTAGGGGAAACAACTTTTATATCAGTTTTAAATAAGTTTGTCCTCAGAATCATGGTTCAAGTCATTTTGGTCCACGCATATGAGCCATCAATTGTACAAAATGACCACAGTCTCTGTTTTGCATATTACTCTCCTCCGGGGATCTAACATAATTGAAATAATTATCATATGTGCATACAGCCTCTCTCACCTGCTGTCTGTGAGCAGATCCTGACTGAGAAGATCTACTCCCGGATCCTGGCCAGAACTGCAGGACAAAGAGATACAGTAATAATGTAGCAAATGGATTAGAATCAAAATCTTCATGTTAAAATAAATTGTCTCAGATGGAGCTCTCCTGTCCTCTGGTGGTCTGTTATGAAACAGCATGTTTTAAAATGTTCTTTAAAGGGTTAGTTCGCCCAAAAAAGAAAATTCTGTCATTAATTACTCACCCGCATGTCGTTCTAACCCCGTAAGACCTCCGTTCATCTTCGGAACACAAATTAAGATATTTTTGATGAATTCTGAGAGCTCTCTGACCCTCCCATAGACAGCAATGTAACTACCGCGATCAAGGTCCAGAAACGTAGCAAAGGAGATCGGTAAAATAATCCATGTGACATCAATCTCCTCCTGTCACCCTTGTGCCATTTTGGAGAGTATCAGCTGGACGTAAACAACGTATGTTGTTCTGTGTCCGCTGCGTCACACGGATACGCTGTTTTCGTTCAAATCAAAGCGTAAACAATGTAGAAAACGTATCCGCGTGACGCAGCTGACACCTGTGTGCAGCTGACCTAATGTCACATGGATTATTTTACAGATCGCCTTGCTACGTTTCTGGACCTTGATCGTGGTAATTACATTGCTGTCTATGGGAGGGTCAGACAGCTCTCAGAATTCATCAAAAATATCTTAATTTGTGTTCCGAAGATGAACGGAGGTCTTACGGGTTTGGAACGACATGAGGGTGAGTAATTAATGACAGAATTTTCATTTTTGGGTGAACTAACCCTTTAAACTCATGTCAATCAGCAGACTTATTTATACTTAATAGTCATCCACCTAATATTTGATTAAGTGGGTTCAATCCTGTCACAGTAAGTTTGGTCACTGTGCTCCGAAAAAAGAAAAGGAAAGGAGGTCACACAGCATTAAAATAACACCAAGGTGAGTAAGTAATAATTGAATTGTCATTTTCTGTTGAACTATCCCGCTAAATACACCTTTCCTTAGCAAAACAAACTGAGAACCATAAAAAAAACAATTTGTTTATAGGATAAATAAACTAAAGCAGAAGCCAATATTTTCACTGATTATGTTCATTCACTGGTTTGCATGAATGGTACATGACTAAATTGGTATTTCAATTTCAATTGTTAGTGTATGCATATAGTTTATGTCATGTATGAATCTGACAAGTTTGTTTGGGACTGCATTGAATTATCACATGGCAATAAATCCACATGACAGTGAGGTCAGATAAACAGTGACAAGACCAGCCTTCTCACTCTCTACTCTAAACTCATTCATACTGTATGAAACCCCTTTACACATGAATGGCACTGAGATTAATGAATATAATCTTTATATGACGGATGCTATTATGCATGAACCGGATCATCTTGTACCTGGTAGGCTCTGTGCTGAAGGATATCAGGGTGTCAGACAGGCTGAAAAGGATAAAAACATTAAGAAAATGTATCAGTATAATGTAGTGCTAAAGAGTACTACAGACACAAAGTGTAAAAATGCTATTTAATCAACATCAGACATGCAATTACTCACATTTCTTTTAAATATGAACATTAATAGAGCAAACCTTTTCTTTGGAACTGGTTCAGGCTTGGATTCAGGTGCTGGTTTGGGCTGAGTTGCAGATTTAGCTTCAGGTTCTGTCTTAGTTTCAACTGGTTTAGGTTCTGATGTGGGTTTAGGATCAGTTGCTGTTGTAGTTTGTGTGGTAGGTTTAGTTTCTGTTTTAGTTTCAGTTGCTGGTTTAGTTTCAACTGGTTTAGGTTCTGGTGTGGGTTTAGGATCAGTTGCTGTTGTAGTTTGTGTGGTAGGTTTAGTTTCTGTTTTAGTTTCAGTTGCTGGTTTAGTTTCAACTGGTTTAGGTTCTGGTGTGGGTTTAGGGTCGGTTGCTGTTATAGTTTGTGTGAAAGTTTTAGTTTCAACTGTTTTAGTTTCAGTTGCTGGTTTAGGTTCAGTTGTTGTTGTAGGTTTAGTTTCAACTGGTTTAGGTTCTGATGTGGGTTTAGGATCGGTTGCTGTTATAGTTTGTGTGAAAGTTTTAGTTTCAACTGTTTTAGTTTCAGTTGCTGGTTTAGGTTCAGTTGTTGTTGTAGGTTTAGTTTCAACTGGTTTAGGTTCTGATGTGGGTTTAGGATCGGTTGCTGTTATAGTTTGTGTGAAAGTTTTAGTTTCAACTGTTTTAGTTTCAGTTGCTGGTTTAGGTTCAGTTGTTGTTGTAGGTTTAGTTTCAACTGGTTTAGGTTCTGATGTGGGTTTAGGATCGGTTGCTGTTATAGTTTGTGTGAAAGTTTTAGTTTCAACTGTTTTAGTTTCAGTTGCTGGTTTAGGTTCAGTTGTTGTTGTAGGTTTAGTTTCAACTGGTTTAGGTTCTGATGTGGGTTTAGGATCGGTTGCTGTTATAGTTTGTGTGAAAGTTTTAGTTTCAACTGTTTTAGTTTCAGTTGCTGGTTTAGGTTCAGTTGTTGTTGTAGGTTTAGTTTCAACTGGTTTAGGTTCTGATGTGGGTTTAGGATCGGTTGCTGTTATAGTTTGTGTGAAAGTTTTAGTTTCAACTGTTTTAGTTTCAGTTGCTGGTTTAGGTTCAGTTGTTGTTGTAGGTTTAGTTTCAACTGGTTTAGGTTCTGATGTGGGTTTAGGATCGGTTGCTGTTATAGTTTGTGTGAAAGTTTTAGTTTCAACTGGTTTAGTTTCAGTTGCTGTTTTAGTTTCAATTGCAGGCTTAGGTTCAGTTGTTGTTGTAGGTTTAGTTTCAACTGGTTTAGGCTCTGATGTGGGTTTAGGATCGGTTGCTGTTATAGTTTGTGTGAAAGTTTTAGTTTCAACTGGTTTAGTTTCAGTTGCTGTTTTAGTTTCAATTGCAGGCTTAGGTTCAGTTGTTGTTGTAGGTTTAGTTTCAACTGGTTTAGGCTCTGATGTGGGTTTAGGATCGGTTGCTGTTATAGTTTGTGTGAAAGTTTTAGTTTCAACTGGTTTAGTTTCAGTTGCTGTTTTAGTTTCAATTGCAGGCTTAGGTTCAGTTGTTGTTGTAGGTTTAGTTTCAACTGGTTTAGGTTCTGATGTGGGTTTAGGATCGGTTGCTGTTATAGTTTGTGTGAAAGTTTTAGTTTCAACTGGTTTAGTTTCAGTTGCTGTTTTAGTTTGTGTGGTAGGTTTAGTTTCTGTTTTAGTTTCAGCTGTTTTAGTTTCAATTGCTGGTTTAGGTTCAGTTGTTGCAGGTTTAGTTTCAACTGGTTTAGGTTCTGATGTGGGTTTAGGATCGGTTGCTGTTATAGTTTGTGTGAAAGTTTTAGTTTCAACTGGTTTAGTTTCAGTTGCTGTTTTAGTTTCAATTGCAGGCTTAGGTTCAGTTGTTGTTGTAGGTTTAGTTTCAACTGGTTTAGGTTCTGATGTGGGTTTAGGATCGGTTGCTGTTATAGTTTGTGTGAAAGTTTTAGTTTCAACTGGTTTAGTTTCAGTTGCTGTTTTAGTTTCAATTGCAGGCTTAGGTTCAGTTGTTGTTGTAGGTTTAGTTTCAACTGGTTTAGGCTCTGGTGTGGGTTTAGGATCAGTTGTTGTTGTAGTTTGTGTTGTAGGTTTAGTTTCTGTTTTAGTTTCAGTTGCTGGTTTAGGCGCAGTTGTTGTTGTAGGTTTAGTTTCAACTGGTTTAGGCTCTGGTGTGGGTTTAGGATCAGTTGTTGTTGTAGTTTGTGTTGTAGGTTTAGTTTCTGTTTTAGTTTCAGCTGTTTTAGTTTCAATTGCTGGTTTAGGTTCAGTTGTTGCAGGTTTAGTTTCAACTGGTTTAGGTTCTGATGTGGGTTTAGGATCGGTTGCTGTTATAGTTTGTGTGAAAGTTTTAGTTTCAACTGGTTTAGTTTCAGTTGCTGTTTTAGTTTCAATTGCAGGCTTAGGTTCAGTTGTTGTTGTAGGTTTAGTTTCAACTGGTTTAGGCTCTGGTGTGGGTTTAGGATCAGTTGTTGTTGTAGTTTGTGTTGTAGGTTTAGTTTCTGTTTTAGTTTCAGTTGCTGGTTTAGGTTCAGTTGTTGTTGTAGGTTTAGTTTCAACTGGTTTAGGCTCTGATGTGGGTTTAGGATCGGTTGCTGTTATAGTTTGTGTGAAAGTTTTAGTTTCAACTGGTTTAGTTTCAGTTGCTGTTTTAGTTTCAATTGCAGGCTTAGGTTCAGTTGTTGTTGTAGGTTTAGTTTCAACTGGTTTAGGCTCTGGTGTGGGTTTAGGATCAGTTGTTGTTGTAGTTTGTGTTGTAGGTTTAGTTTCTGTTTTAGTTTCAGCTGTTTTAGTTTCAATTGCTGGTTTAGGTTCAGTTGTTGCAGGTTTAGTTTCAACTGGTTTAGGTTCTGATGTGGGTTTAGGATCGGTTGCTGTTATAGTTTGTGTGAAAGTTTTAGTTTCAACTGGTTTAGTTTCAGTTGCTGTTTTAGTTTCAATTGCAGGCTTAGGTTCAGTTGTTGTTGTAGGTTTAGTTTCAACTGGTTTAGGCTCTGGTGTGGGTTTAGGATCAGTTGTTGTTGTAGTTTGTGTTGTAGGTTTAGTTTCTGTTTTAGTTTCAGCTGTTTTAGTTTCAATTGCTGGTTTAGGTTCAGTTGTTGCAGGTTTAGTTTCAACTGGTTTAGGTTCTGATGTGGGTTTAGGATCAGTTGCTGTTGTAGTTTGTGTGGTAGGTTTAGTTTCTGTTTTAGTTTCAGTTGCTGGTTTAGGTTCAGTTGTTGTTGTAGGTTTAGTTTCAACTGGTTTAGGCTCTGATGTGGGTTTAGGATCGGTTGCTGTTATAGTTTGTGTGAAAGTTTTAGTTTCAACTGTTTTAGTTTCAGTTGCTGGTTTAGGTTCAGTTGTTGTTATAGGTTTAGTTTCAACTGGTTTAGGCTCTGGTGTGGGTTTAGGATCAGTTGTTGTTGTAGTTTGTGTTGTAGGTTTAGTTTCTGTTTTAGTTTCAGCTGTTTTAGTTTCAATTGCTGGTTTAGGTTCAGTTGTTGCAGGTTTAGTTTCAACTGGTTTAGGTTCTGATGTGGGTTTAGGATCGGTTGCTGTTATAGTTTGTGTGAAAGTTTTAGTTTCAACTGGTTTAGTTTCAGTTGCTGTTTTAGTTTCAATTGCAGGCTTAGGTTCAGTTGTTGTTGTAGGTTTAGTTTCAACTGGTTTAGGCTCTGGTGTGGGTTTAGGATCAGTTGTTGTTGTAGTTTGTGTTGTAGGTTTAGTTTCTGTTTTAGTTTCAGTTGCTGGTTTAGGTTCAGTTGTTGTTGTAGGTTTAGTTTCAACTGGTTTAGGCTCTGATGTGGGTTTAGGATCGGTTGCTGTTATAGTTTGTGTGAAAGTTTTAGTTTCAACTGGTTTAGTTTCAGTTGCTGTTTTAGTTTCAATTGCAGGCTTAGGTTCAGTTGTTGTTGTAGGTTTAGTTTCAACTGGTTTAGGCTCTGGTGTGGGTTTAGGATCAGTTGTTGTTGTAGTTTGTGTTGTAGGTTTAGTTTCTGTTTTAGTTTCAGCTGTTTTAGTTTCAATTGCTGGTTTAGGTTCAGTTGTTGCAGGTTTAGTTTCAACTGGTTTAGGTTCTGATGTGGGTTTAGGATCGGTTGCTGTTATAGTTTGTGTGAAAGTTTTAGTTTCAACTGGTTTAGTTTCAGTTGCTGTTTTAGTTTCAATTGCAGGCTTAGGTTCAGTTGTTGTTGTAGGTTTAGTTTCAACTGGTTTAGGCTCTGGTGTGGGTTTAGGATCAGTTGTTGTTGTAGTTTGTGTTGTAGGTTTAGTTTCTGTTTTAGTTTCAGCTGTTTTAGTTTCAATTGCTGGTTTAGGTTCAGTTGTTGCAGGTTTAGTTTCAACTGGTTTAGGTTCTGATGTGGGTTTAGGTTCTGTTACTGTTTTAGTTTCAGGTGCAGGTTTAGGTTGTGAAGCTGGTTTAGGCTCAGATGCTGTTTTAGGCTGTGTTGCGTTTTCTAGCGCCGGTTTAGATTCTGATGTGGCGTTAGATTCGGTTGATATTTTAGTTTGTGTTGTAGGTTTAGTTTCAGTCACTGGCTTAGTTTCAGGTGCTGGTTTAGAGTCTATTGTGGGTTTAGGTTCAATTGTCGTTTTTGTTTCAGATGCAGGTTTAGTCTCAGGTGTAGGCTTAGGTGCAGATTTAGTTTCAGGTGCTGCTGGCTTGACCTCCTTCACCACTGGTTCAGTGTTTGATTTAACACTGTAAATGCAATAAAATTACAATTAAAACAGGGTCAAACAAGAAATAGGAGCTTGAAGGTGTATAATTGACAGATGTTGTGTAGTTTACCTTTGCACAGGCACAGACTTAACAGATGCTGTAGTGTCATCATCATCACTGATAACTACCCTACAAACCACATACATATGCAAAAGAGGATGAGGATAATGGAGCTAACAAATAGGGGTTACGCAGGTAAAGTGGGACACTTGAACGTTTGCTGTTTTTTTTTTATGGAAGTAGATGCACATAATGAAGCTGAATCAGTGCCATACCATCAACTGTGCCACTTCACCTGTTTTCACCCTATTTACTTTTATCAGTGTGTGCTGGTACCTTTTGGCAACAAAGGAAGAAGTGCTCATATCAGCAGAGCTGTCAGGCTTCTCTGTAGATCTGGAAATATTAGATGTGAACATTGTGCAATGAATGGGATATGCATTCATCTTAATATTTTCACCAAATAATGGTACAGAGGAAGAGTAATTGAGAATGAATGGGGAAAAGTCCTCCTCTGTCACATCACATTCAAAGTTGAAATGACTTGAAAATCTATAAGGGTTTTTTTTGGATGAGCTATCAGCTTGGTGAAATTAAAGGTGCATCTATGCGTCTGTGACCTGCATTGATTACCAAGCTTTGATGACTGATACAGTGGCGATACACTCAGAAAATGAAAATGGAGAGATAAACCTTTTTACCTTATTCATATTAGTATCTTAAAGGTACGTATTATTAACTAATGTGTATGGCAGTACCATTGTATTACAGTGGTACATTTCCAAACTACAACTGTTTTTCAGAAACTTCAAAAGTTATATTTTCAACAAAACACTTACTCGTATTTCTTTGCAGCTGACATTACGTATGAACGGCGATTTGCTGCCGATCCCTTCAGCACAATGCTGGCTGCCTCTGTCCTACACGCACACACATGCAAAGGAAAGGTCATTTTATGAAGAGGAACATGAAGTCACCGTGGATAAATCAGTCTGTGAAGTGTGGTCTCTCACCTCTTTTCCATTTCGTCCGGACTCAGAGTTGGTTCAGACTGCACTGTCTTTTCACTGCTGGACCGAATTGTGTGGGGGGCTCTGGGAGAAGAATATTAATGGAAATAAACATAATTAAGATGTGCTATAATGAGCTCAAATGCTTAATGTGCGTGACCTACATGCTTCAATAAAGTTTTCGGCTAACTTACATTTTCTTGTAACTCTCAGATGGCTTTTTGTTGAAGCTATAAGGGAGGAGAGACGAATAGCATACTATTAAAACTGATTTATCTTTTATTAACAATTACAAATCATATATTAGAAATGTAGTTTAAGTGTAAAATGCATCTATATTAATTTAATGGTATTTATTTCATGGTGTTCTAATGTTTATAGAACTAGTAAGGTTTCTGATTCTTCAGAATCTTCTTACGCATATCCATTGGTGGATGAAGCTGATGTTGGCTTGGAATCGGTTTTTGTGAATACCCCCCTGCAAAAGTAAATGGTCACATATGAAGGAAAGTAATGCAAAGGCAGTGTTGATAAAGATAACTTTTGATTGACCCAGCATTCTCATTACCTGATTAAGTATCCAGGTGCAGGTGTTTTTGGTCTGTGAAGTTTAAAATGAAATACTGTCATTTTAACATGTAAAAAGACACATTATAGGGTTTTCAGAACTCATTGACACTCTTAAAAATAAAGGTCTTTATTGGCATTGATGATTCAATGAATAATCTTTAACATCCATAGAACTTCTCCACTGCGCAAAAGTTTCTTTTAGGAGGAAAGGGTTCTTTAGTTTATTAAAATTTGGGGAATCAAAATGGTTCTTCTACGGCATCACTGAGAAAATCCCTTTTGGAACTTTATTTTTAGGAGTGTAGCCTATATTTTACATATTTATTGACCATTTTCCCTCCTCTATTTTCTACAAGCCATATCTCCTACACTTCTTCTGTCACTCCTACAGTATTAGGAATCTCCACTGCTTAAGCACATCATCTTATAATAACAGAATATTTCAGATCAGTTTCCTTCCTCATGTCCATAGCAAAAACACTTTTTTTCACCTCTCATAGCACAACCAGCTAGACAACAATCAGTTGAGCTTCAAAAGCAGACATTCAATGGAAACCTTGCTATCAGTCAACAAAGTCCAGCAGTTGGCGAAAATGTCCTCTCAATCATTCATCCTCTCATTCTGCTGTACCATTCTCTAGCCTTCAACACAGTAATTCACCAGATCCCCCTGTCCACCACATTGTTCACAAAACTGCACTCCACTGGTTTGAGTTTTACTTTACAGACAGATTCTTCATGGTGTGTTGGTGTCAACTGCTGGTGTACCTCAGGGTTTGGTTATTGGTCCCTTCCACTTTTTGAAATACACATCATTGATGTGACCTATCATTCAGAAACATAAATTTTCCTGCCACTTACAAATACTTACAAATTGTATTTTCAAATATAATTGTATATTGTGTTTCCAAATTACATGACAAAAATTGTAGTTAGTAGCATAATCCATTACATTACACATTTCAGGTAATATAATCAGACTACTTTTAGATTACTTTTGTTTATCACATTGATTCAAATAGGATAATCTTATGCCGTATTGATATAAAAATTCAAAGAGTAAGAAAATATATTCCATTCGTTGTAATTAACAACACGAAGTGCATTAAACATTACATTACGTCAAGGTTTTCAAAACTGGGGTTCGTAAAGGTACTGCAGGGGATTAATGAGTTTAATGAAAAGCTAATTAAATCATAAAAATGTCAAATTAAAATAAATCCTTTTAACATCATAACATCAATCAAAATAAAACACTTGCTAAAAAAAATTTTAATATTTTATTTGTTTACCTGGATGTCATGTGACCATTAACCAACATCAGAACATGCAAATGTGACATTATTAAAATATTCATTTTAAAATCTCAGGGGTACTTCAAGTAAATTTATTAGGTGAAAGAGGTTCCGACATGTAAATAAGAAATAACGTGAATTTGTACGTTTTAATGCGTTTGAAAGACAAAAGCCTTCCAAAGACATAATAATACATGGTTAAATAACCTACTGAGTGATAATTCAAATAAAAATTAATGTGTTCATCAGCAGTTGACGCGATGTTGAAACACCTTCTTAAACCTAAAATGATTTTTGTAAATCCAGTGGTCAAACGCTGTGTGGCCACCTGACTAATGACTGGTCTTTGTGTGAATGTCCACAACACTGGAAGACTTTCTGAGGGTATAGAAGCGGTAGACCGTTTTAGAAAGGAATTTTAAAAGATAAAAAGAAGAATTAGGATCTTAAATTATGAATAGTTTATTGCTATTGTGTTAATATGTAAACATGTAAACAATAAAAAAGTAGCTGTAGTCTGATTACGAGTATTTTAAAATGTAATTTAACCTAATTACAAGTACTTAATTTTTGGATTATGATTACTTATCTAATCCAGATTACATGTAATCAGTTACTATCCAGCTCTGACAGTCTTACAGTGGCTGCACAGACCTTGGTTTGTCTGGTAAGGACGGGACACACCAAAAAACTGACGGTGTTGTCTCCTAAAGCTGCGCTTTAAAACACCACACAGACTACAGCCGACTGCAAACTAGCATGTGCATTCTTATGGAGGACCAAACCTTCAGAAATAATAGATAAATAAATAAATACATGTAATAATAGGAAAATAAAGGAATAAATGACTTGATAAAACAAATATAATTCATGTGCAATAAAATTAAATCCTGAATTTATTTATTTTTAAATTTATTTTTATTATTTGTAATTTTTAGATACTTATTCTTTTATTTTTTTTTATGCATTCATTCATTTTTATATTTATGTGCTTATTTTTATATTGATTTATTCCCATGTGAATTTATTTACTTATTAGTTTATTTCTTTTTACTTTTCCGTGTGCAAGATGGAAATGAGGGAGGCGGTCCTTGCGGAGCGCCGATGAATCATTGGTTAAAATCTCACGTATATAAGCGTCATAGTCAGCTCTAAGTAAGCGATAGAAATAGGAGTTTATACGGGATGAGGCAGATCAACTGGAGAGTTATTTTTATTGATACTCATGAATGATGTTCACGGTTGTCCAGAAATAGAAGCACAAAGCTGAATCCAGCAACTTGTGTGATCTTTCCTCACAGCATCCTCAGCAAGCCCAGAATCATCACCAACATTGTCAGATTCTAGGTTGATGACAGTGGACGGTATGTTTCTGCACTGAAGCCAGTCCAGTAATTTACTATTCACCATTCAGCAAGGTTCACAAAAGAGAACACCATCCAGGTCTGCCAGAAAGTTGGGGATAGTGTTTGACCACCATCTAAACTTCAGATCACCAAGGGCAGCCAGTCATGTAGCTGTTGTTTTGTTTTTTTAATGCTGCACGTCTCCTTATCTGGTCTTTTGTAATTTCTACACTGGACTACGACATTGCCCTTCTACATCGAATCTCTGAAAATGAGTCAAAATGCAGTGGTGTGTTCTTCAATGAACCCAAAAGAACACTTCACAGTGTTCACAAATGACTCTTTACCATGCTCTACTGCCATTTACCACGTTTGTAGGTCACTTTGGCCTGCTAAATTAATAAATGTAAAAGTAGACCTCATGGAGAGTAATAACGCATACTTGTCTGTGTCGGAGCTGGGCTGGGGTGCATTGGCCGTGGGTGAGGAAACAGTACTTGTTTCTTCAAGCACACCATTTGAGCGGTTTGCTCGCACTTCAGCGATCCTACAAGAGAACGTGTTAGACGAACTGTACTGTGAACTTTGAACTTTAAGATTTGTTATCATATTTATTTCTCACCATGGTTTCTCCTCCTCCTCATTCTCAAGATCTTCTAGCGCTCGTCTCTGTATCCAGCTGTTGTCTCCTTTCAGAGCGGTGCGGACCTTTGCGGTCCGCAAAACCGACTGTCTGTCCGCCTCTGAAATCAAGACAGTCCAGAGCTTATCATACACAAACATAAAAACATATCTTGATATCACTGCATTGAGCCAAAAGTTGATTGCATCAGTGGTAACAGTTGTAAGAGACAATGTGATGAGAATTTTTAATTTAAAGAAAACAAGTGTGACTGAAAGTGGAGTGTGTTAAAGAGACACATTTCATTACACCAAATACACAAAATAATGTTCTTTTTAGCAGCATCATATGACCCCTTTAAGCAATGTGTAACATGTGGCACGACAGGATTTGATGCTGTGACGCAGGACATCATTGTTTTGGTCGAGTGGAATGCCATAAATTAATAGCTCTGACTTAAGCACAGACACTGACAGTTTGACTCCGTTTGAAACACTGGTTATTGGAACTTACCTTTGGACATTCTTTAGTCAAAAAGTTCTAAAAACTGCTTCAAAAGACACCTGGATTAAAAAAAGAGGTCAGTCATTAAAAAACACGAAAGTAAACATTTGTATTCATTATATTAACTGTTTTTTCATTTACATGGTACATTTTTTGTCAAAATAGAAAATACTGACAATGCAACAAAGGTGCACTAAAATATAAAGATCAAGCATCAAATCAGCATATTAGAGTGATTTCTGAAAGATCATCGACACTGAAGACTTTTAGGAAAAACTTTTAAATTGTAATAATATTTCACAATATTACTGTTTTTACTGCATAGTTGTTCAAACAAATGTAGCCTTGGAGATCATTAAAAAAAAAAAAAAAATCTTACCAACACCAGACTTTTGAAATGTTAGTGTTTATTAATTAACTAGTTGATCAATATGAATTTATTGAATTTGTTTTTTTAAGTAATAATCCCCAAATATACAGTGAATTACATGCCACAGATGATCAATTGTAGGTTCACAAAGGTGATGAATTGTTAGGAGGCTAAACTACCACAATATATATTTCTCATTATGAGACTGCCAAACAAAAAATGTTACACAACTTCCCTTTGAAGAAATTCCCACAAACTAAAAAAAAAAAAATCATTCAGGAAATTCTCCAAGAAACTGACAGATTTATTCCATCCAACATAGAAAACAGGGAAGTTGGAGAGTCATGTTGATGGCATGCTGGCCTGGTTTCAGTTACACACGTCAAATTACTTGAAGGAGTCATTTCTTTACGACATAGCCCATAAATCATTCATATTTCTGTTCATTTAATCAAGTTGTTTTGAACCTAAGATACAGATCCTAGGATACACATCTGTAGGGATCTGTAACACTGAACACACACACAATCTGACAACGACAAAATCTGAACACCTGATCATTCATTATGTCCTGAACATTAGCCTATACAGTGTATTATATAGTATTAACACTACATTATTATTTATCTTTAAAACGGAGTTTAAAATCAACCACCGTTAGTTTGCCTGAACAATATGCATTCTAATGATCAACGACATAAGAGAAACTATGATATACAAGGTCCAAATTCAAGCTTCATGTCTGCACGTGACATAAGGCTTATTACTAGCAAATTAATTTTCTAAAGTAAAGTCCGTAAAGCCAAAATCGCTCCTACAGTCCTCATTGCACCATAGTGACACAAAACGACCTTCAAGAGTCAACACAGCTTGTGCAAGACCAAACATGCTTGAACAGTGATCGTGACAGTGACAGAGTGAATGCCAAATCAAAGATATGAAGGCAAAAAAACACTTTCACTCTGCTGTATATCAGGTTTTACAGATGGAAGCAGCGGATATATATTTAAAAAGTCATCAACAAGTAGTTGCCAACCCCAAATAGTCTCAGAACACATCAGAAACGAGCAGTTTGTAAAGTTTTCTCAAAAGGAACAGATGACCTACCTTATTAATGTCCGTTTAGCTGCAGTATGGTGGCAGATGTACTGAGCAGTGCTGGTGATTTCGGCTGACTGACTGTGAGTTCAGTCAATAAACACACACACACACACACATTCAGGGGAGGTGTTCACTGACAGCTCTCTCCTCCAGCGAGCAGGTAAGGGTGTGGGCACAGACCCGCTCAGCCAGTCGGGTAGGCCAGGCCAACCAAACCTATAGGTGTGTACCTGTGTGTGTGTGTACCTGTGTGTGTATACATGTGTGTGTGTGTGTGTGTGTGTGAGTGTGTACCTGTGTGTGTGTGTGTGTGTGTATCAGTGCTTTGGGAGCTTGACGTCTCATAATCAAAGACGCCTGAGCTGCTAACCCTAGATGTGAGTGCTGCAGTATCACGGAGCATAAAGCCACTTATTCCTTTGTCTGATTTACTTCGCAGAGAATCAAAGATGATGAGCTGTCCAGTCTCATCCAGAGGATGCTGGGTAATTATGAGGAAGGATATGACGGACCTGAGGAACTTTGTCCTGCGCTTCATAATGAGCGTTCTGCGCACTTCCCTCACGTGGACGAGCAGTCGGGATGCACGGATCGCTCCAGAGCCGCTTCAGACTCCGGCCCTCCTTCAGGTGAGAGCTGGGACAGTTTACCGGCCCTGTGTCCCCCGGTGGAGCCGCTGTCCCCTCTACAGTCCAGTGACTCGGACGGCGGCCCGTGTCCAGAGCGCAGCAGGCCAGACGCGCCTCCGCTGACTCACGCACTCCCGCTGAATTTGCATGGTAAACTGGCCAACGCCAAGAAACCCACAGCATATGTGAGGCCGACGGTCGGTCAGGACCAGGTGACCAGCGGTTCTCCCGAACTGAAGGCCTCACCGGAGTCTTATGAGCACTTACAGGACCTGAAGGAGAGCAGCAAACCAAACCTTCCCGCTCTGCAGTCTGCTGATGTGAGTGTTTATCCGCAGACGTTATTACAGTGAGAGCGAAACTGACCCTGTGTGTTTCATCATCCAAATGTTAAACAAGGCCACATTCTCTCTCTGTCCGTCTGCAGATTGTGTCTGGAGCGCGTGTGGGGGACATTCTGCAGGTCAGTTGAGTTTGGGACAGTCTCGATTGATAGGAAAGCCGCGGGAGTTCAGTGTCTCTCTCACACACAGGAAATGACCTCATGGCCTCCACTACTGACGACCATTTGCACGCCAACCACAGCCGAGCCGCCTAAGTTCTCCTCCACTAATGAGGTTAGATCAGAATAAATGGTTTAGTTGGTCACTGAAACACTAGCATTTGAACTCATTCTTGAGCTCATTCTTTTTTGAACATTCATTCTTGTAACTGCTTTGACAGGAGACACATGGATTCCCGACTCTCAGTAAGTGTGTGTTTGTGTGTGTGTGTATTGTGGAAGTCTGTTTATGTGCCTTTAATTTGTTGTGTTATTCTTCACTAGAAGCTGATGAATCATCAGACAAAGTTCAGCGGGAATCTCCGTGAGTATCAGATCAGATCAGATCAGATCTTTGTCTCTAGTTCATATGAAGGTGTTTACATGCTGTGTGTGTACCTGTGTGTGTGTATATGTGTGTGTATATGTGTGTACCTGTGTGTGTACCTGTGTGTGTGTGTGTATACCTGTGTGTGTGTGTGTGAGTGTGTGTACCGGTGTGTGTATACCTGTGTGTGTGTGTGTGTGTACCTATGTGTATACCTGTGTGCCTGTGTGTGTGTGTGTGTGTGTGTGTGTATACCTGTGTGTGTGTGTACCTGTGTATGTATACCGCTTGTGTGTGTGAGAACCGGTGTGTGTATACCTGTGTGTGTGTGTGAGTGTGTGTGTGTACCTGTGTGTGTGTGCGAGTGTGTGTACTTCATGTTTTGGCTGCAGTGGGAGGAGAGATACTCTCCCACCTTTATTTGTTGAATTCTACTGAATTACAGCCCAAATTCAAACAAATCTGTGTCACATAAAATCTGAACTGGTTGAAACGAGATAACTGCCTCCTGCGTGACTCAAAGACAGCTCATAATCAATATGCAATATGCAAGCTCACAAGGTGTTCCTGTGGGACTGTTCTAGAAAAGCCTCCAAAAATAACAGCTTGTGCCACATACTACAGACAGGTTTGAAGTCAATGATGAATAAGGATGTCAGAAATGACAAAAAAAATTTAAATCCCTGAAAAATATACTTTAAAAAACATTTTTACGAAATTTTACATTTGAAAAAGTAATCTTTGTATTCATGATTCAGAAGTCTTTGAGAAACATTTTTAACAAAAGTTTGGATTTAATAATCTTGTAGCAAACCAATTTAAAAAAAAAAAATTTTTAAGTTTTTTTCTGGGGTTGTACCATTTGATGAGGACCTGAAATGATATTTCAGAAACTTATCAGAGTCTGATTGGCCTCGACATACATCACATGACAACAAAATAGCTTGGCTACACCACACTGACTTCAGAGGAAATCATTTTGGTGGACAAAATGGCTTTTCAAATATGAATATTTTAAAACAAAACTGCTTTGCAGTATGTTTTTAAAATATTGAGCTTACATTTTTGTTTGAGAGAGAGTTTTAACAGCTTGACATAAAAAAGCTAATTTCTAATTATAAAAAATTCAGATTTTAAATCAGAAATGTGTCATAAAATGTGTATTCATGTCATTGTATTTATGAACATGCATTTTTATAATGAATAGACCCATATAAAAAATAAACACATTTTTATATTGATTTTCTAAAGCTTTGAATTATGATAGATATGATCGATATACACTGAATCAAAAACTCACACGCTGTAGACTTTCTAAAGTATTGCCTACTAACTGCTGACATAAACTTGTCACTGATAACTCGGTGTTCACTGGAGGTGAACAGATGAGTCAGTGCCTCTAAATAAAGACTGTGGGACTGATCCAAAGCACACGGTTTAAAACAGGTGGGGTGTGTACAGTCTCTAGGATACTCACTAACCCAATGACCAGCGTTCTGCTGCCATCAGACGCACTCACACCCCTGAGAACATGCGAGAAAGCTAACAGGCCTGATGTGGTTTCACCATGGGTTACACCTACTGCTACGGGACAGGAACGGGTTTGACGACTGAGTCATAGTGATAGAGATTCATATCTGTGAGTGCAGAATCTCAGCGATCTGAACAACACCCCCACCTCCCATCCAACGCCTGCTGGAGGAATTGCAAAAATTCATCATTAGTGAAACATTGCTGTCATGTCTTTTGTGCAAGATAAAATGCATCACTAATAGATGGCTAGCATGACATGATAATAGTTATATTCCTATGCGACTGAAGTTGTGGATAGTATAAAAGTCATGGTCAATGTAATGCATATAAATCCATATTTATCATTTTTTATGGCATCAAAGTGAATTAAATGTTTCAAAGATCAACCAAAGTATTACGGTTTTTGAACATGAGGGTCGAGAGTAAATAATACTAATTCGGTGAATTATCCCACAAAAACATTACATGGGTAAAATTGGAAGCAAATGCCATTTTATTTTAGGTATCCAAAAAAAGAACATGACACAAACTTGATTTGAAATTTATACGAAAAACTGAATAGCTGTTACATAAACTCTGAATTCTTTTGGACCAAAGCAGAAAGAGACAAATGTTCACATTTGCCATCTGAATTCACCATCACTGTTGAACTGCATGCGGTCACATCCTGGTTAAAAGGCACATTCAGAATAGGAATGATTAAGTGCATTGTGAATATAGCCTAGTAAACATTGGTAATCCAACAGATACATCCAAAGCTCATATTGCAGTTCAGCAAACAGTAATTTGTCAATCACCCTCCAGCTTCGCTGTGGCGTTACGCTCCCTTCCGTAGATGTGGGTAGCTCTCCACAGTGCGCACTATTGCCTCTCGTAAAGGCACCAGCGGCTGGTAACCCATGTCCTTCTTGGCACGAGCGCAGCTGTAGTAGTGGTGGGTGCCAGCCAGAGCTACTCTCATAGGGGAGAAGGTGGGTTTGATCCGGATCAGAGGCCGCAGTACCAAAGCGATCAGCCACAGCAGCAGGGCTATCCCATAGACCAGTGTGTAGGGCAGGTGGTATCGCGGAGCACTGTAGCCCAGACCCTCCAGAATCTGAGACATGAAGTCCCAGAAACGCACCGGCTCATCGTTGGTTATGTGGTAAGCCTGTTAGTACGAGAACACTGAAACTGAATGCGTGGTTCAGGTGTGTTTGATTAGGGTTAGAGCTAAACTCTGCAGGACCGAGTTTAGGCACCCCTGGTTTAAATGGTTGTAAAAATTAGAGGGGTCATATGATG